AAAATGAAAGAAGAATATATCTTTGAAACTCATACGCTCACCCTCACTCATGAGGGCAGTGTCAGATCGCAAATTCAGCGATTCGCTAGTAGCGAAGTCCGTAAATTCGCTAGCGAATCCAGCGATTCGCTACTAGCGAATCGCTGAATTTGCGATCTGACACTGCCCTCATGAGTGAGGGTGAGCGTATGAGTTTCAAAGATATATTCTTCTTTCGTTTTTCGTTATGCATACTGCAACTTGTATCTGCTTTTTCTGAACATAATTTCTGCGTTTTCTTTTTTGAGGCTTGCATTTCAGGGCTTCTACATAGTGGCATATGCTGTCGGAATCTACTATTTGAATTTGCTTCTTCTTTTCCTGACACCTTCTATTGATCCTGCTCTCGAGGATGATGACGACGGGCCTGTTCTGCCATCAAGAACAAACGACGAGTTTCGCCCTTTTATGCGTCGCTTACCTGAATTTAAATGCTGGTATGCGTTGCAGTACTTGTTTGAGCGATTTATAACTTGCTAAAAGCGTTGTTCTGCTTGATGATAAAAGGCTCGTAAATTCCATTCAGGCATTCCGCTATGAAAGCCACCCTAATCGCGATCATATGTACGTTCTTCGAATTCTTCAACGTACCCGTATTCTGGCCGATTCTTGTCATGTACTTCATAATTCTTTTCTTCCTCACGATGAAGAGGCAAATAATGGTGAGCCTTTTCACAAAATTCTGCCAATTAGCATTAGCTTTTTCGCCATTTAACGTGGTTTGCTTTTGTAATTTTGTAGCAAATCTGTTTTTTTTTTGGAAGCTTTTCACTACCCCATTAAAGGTGGCAGCCATTGAATAACTTCTTAGCGGCCTTGAGAATTTAAAATTTTACACAGTTCAGTGTTTTCTGTTTTTTGCCTACCATTTTAAGTTCTGTAACGTTCTATTTGTTATTTACAGCATATGATCAAGTACAAATATATCCCATTCACGGTTGGAAAGCCTCGAATGGCCGGAAAGGAGGACACTGGCAAGGTTGTCGTTGGCTAGCAATATAGACGTTAATATTTATTTTTGAACACATTCGCTTATTTACGTCGTTTGCTTGTTTCTCTTTGACCGTCCCATATTCGATTTTCCACCATTACTACGTGTTGTAGTGCTGTAGAAGGTACACACCCTCTTTGGGCGTGTCTTACTTCACGATATGGGTTTTCCGAGTTTTGTTCTTTGTTGACCCCTTTGTACGCCCATTAATCTCATCAATGTGATTGGTAGTGCTCCCTTTGTGAATGACTGCAACAGTTTGATCGAAATTAGGCGAACTGCACTATGATTGAGCACGCACCACATAGTTCTGCAGATTATTGTTTGCACAACCGTTGACACAGCTCTTACACTGGTTTAATGCGAATCCTGAAGTTGAGCCTTAATCTTCCTCATATATTAATTTATTTTTCCTTTTGTTAGGCATAGCTACCAAAAAATTCCAATTTGAATTGGTTTTTTGTGTATAATTAACCTGCACGAAGTAAAAGGACGACTAATATGGAATATCAAGCAAATACAGTGTAAGGCGAAGGTAAGCATAAAATCAGCGTTTCACTGCTGTGCTCGGTCGTATTGTGGCATACGTCAGTCACCTTGATTGGACTCGCTATATGTTGAATAGGGAGTATTCATGTTTTTGGGCTTTGCAGCGAGTGTTTAATTTATGAAGATAGTGTGAGATAAAAATAATTTATAAATGTTATACGTGCCGTCTTCTTGTATGGTTGCGGTGGTCTTTCGATTAGGATTGGTGAAAAATAATATAAACTCTTCTGTGCAATCACACCCATTGGTTATTTATACTACTCTTTCCAGTCTTTAATCGATTGACATTTTTATATTGTAAATCGCGCGTCATGAAGTTAGTTGAATAATGCAGTCATCTCTTGAAGATGTATTTTCCCAGTCGTATACAGAGTTTTGTTCCACTAAAATGTGAATAATATTTCACGAACTATAATTCACCGGGAATTATTTATGAGGTCCTAGTATATGGCTTTGCTTTGACATGAATCTTAAATGTTACCGATTATAAGCGGTGAGATTTTCACGCATCAAACATTTGCTTGCGATCAATAATAGTTTAGATGTGCCATCCTAATCTAGTTGAAACAATACTGTCGTCATAGATGGTAGTAATGAAATACTCTCACTATAAGAGCTTGGAGAACTCTTGCTCCAAAAACAGTGGGACAAATAATATTTGAGTCTGCTCCGGCGAGCAGGGTAGGAAAGCAGGTTATGAAGTCTTATTTCTCCTCCTGAAGCCTTCCTTTGTTGGTAGAAGAAGTCAAAGGCTAAACTTGGGATAAGCTGGTACCATTGAAATGTGAATGTCAGTTCCAATGGTGCAGTAATGTGAAAAAAACTCCGCAAATCGGTCAAAGAACACGTATTTGCACTCTCTTTCCACGTACAGCTTGTCTTCATGCGCTACTGTAATGATGTACTCGCAATCGCGTAAAAAACCATGCATACGCTCAGAACTGAGAATTATCAAATTTTGAAAGTGTAATACGGTAAAGCAACAGTCCCAGCAGGGTTTTTACCTTCGACACTAATGGTGTGGAACGATGCGCTCGCCCTAGTTCAAGAACGTGAGAAGTGTGATTGCACAAAAAACTCATCTTGGAAAGCTTCTAGAAAGGGAGCTGAAAGGCTCTCCGAAGTGGGTGTGGTTGGAAATCAGCCCAAGGCGATTGCAGCCGTTTTCCAACCACGCCCACTTCGGAGCCATTAGCTTCTAATTCTAGGCAAGCGTTCATGGTGAGTTGTGAAATCGCACTTCTGCGTAATTGAGTAAGGGCTAGCGCGATCGTTCACACCATTAGTGTCGAAGGGAACTCCCTGCTGACGTGTTGCATTAATATGAAGGCATCTTCTGAAAGAGAATCACTACGAGTGAGGGCTAAAGAAGTCTGGATCACCTTTGTTTTTTTTTGTGCCCTATAGCTTTGGTCGATGGCTTATATTCTGCAAAAAGTGCAACTCTTCCTCTTGGGCCCTCCTCCTCCCTCTCAATTTAACCTTTCTTTTTCATGAAGATCAATTTAGTCGCAAATTTTATCTCCAAAACGGCGTAGAAGCATCATATGTAGTATTTCAGAGCTCCCAGATTAAACTGTCACCAACTAGCAGATCTGCAGAGACGCACGGTTTGCTTGACCAGGACTGGAATTGAGCACAAGAATCGCTCATCCGATGCACTGCTTCGTCCAGTTTCTTCACTTCATATTAATTTCATAGTTTATGTTTCATTCTATACCAACAATGGGTTAATGCCTCGCACTCGGTAACTTCTGAATCCATGTGGCTCTCTGAAGATTTACTTTCTCAATCCCTCTGTCGAAAAGGGGTATAATCTTGTAGGATGTCAGTTGGAAGTTCTATCAAACAACGTTCCTAAAAGACCATATAGAGTGGTATATGTCTGTCTAGCACGAAATTCGGTAATACCTGAAGATTAACCTGGCAAGACCAGGTCAAGATTGGGACGGTCTACGGACATCTTGAACTCGGTCCATTTAACCGTCTCAATTAGGTGCTCTCATCTGCGCTCTCTTGGCTAGACTGGGCTCATGGTTGATGTGATCTCACACAGACGAACTTTTCCCACACTTGTTATTGGCTCCCCCTCCCGGGGTTTTTGGAACGTAGTCTTAGGGTTTCACCTTATTTTTTGGGATCGAAGCCGAGCCAGGCGCAGTTCTCTAAGTGTCCATGCTCTATCCATTCGCGGCAAAAAAGATGGAGGAACGTTCACGTAGTCACGTAATCGTTTGGAACAAGTGGCGCATGGGCCAGGATTTACGGAGCAATTTACAAAATTTACGGAGCTGAGAGAAGCTCCGGCATGGCATGCACCGGAGTTAGCGGAGCCCATGGCGAAAATTTCAATTTCCATACAATTTCCACAGTGTCCTTCTCAATCAAAATTCGAATTCGTTTGTGAAGGTAGCGTTTTTCTTCTGAAAGATGCATTTTCAAATGTATTAAACGACAGGAACATGCTGCAGAATCTGCTGCGGTCCATGACGCCTTCTCACCGAATGGAATGAGTCTCTTCTTGGAAAAATAGACGGTAAAATGGCTGCGCAAAACTACAGGGATTGAAAGTCGTGGTGCCGTGAGCACATTAGAACATGCCTGCAAGATGAACTGTGCGGCAGGATAATGACCTGAAGCTCACCCCAAGGAGCCGTGAAGATGGTTTGACTTCTAAAAGCAACATGTCAAACTTCTGGAGCGGTCAAAGCTATTTGCGACGTGGATCTTGCAGAACACATGAAAAAAGGGCTGCACAAACGTTGCTGAGGCAAGTGAGTGAAGCAGCAAGAGAAAATTGGCTCAGTTGATGGATGAATGGAGTCAATCCACTTACTGTTGTTGAAAAACTGGGCTACTTGATCCATATAACCGTGTTGCGATTAAGGCATAATTTTCTGAGTCAGTCAATGAGGCTTTTCAAAATTCTGGGGAACCTTATGGCGATCAAACTCTATCGAATCCTATCTGTGGATATTACTTTCAACTATTCAGAAGTGGCGACCTTGATGTCACTAGCATAAAAAAAGCAATCCAAGCAGCAGGTTCCA